GCAATCTTTTCCACAAAGATTGTAAGCAGCACATCTTTTTTCAACATTATAATAATAATAATAATACATTTCTCAAGCAACAATCAACATTATGGAATGAGTTCTAAAAAATCAGATATAATAATTTAGCTTTGTTATCACAGGCTTTAAATTACATTTTAAGATATGTTAAAATGGAAAGCAACATTTCAATATTACTGTATTTACAGAATTGTAATTAAATAAATGCAGACTTGGTGCGCATAAGATACTTCTATCCCAAAAACTTAAAATAAATAAATACATAAAATGACTCTCCCAAAACTGTTGAACAATAGTGTATATATTATTATATATAAGTAGCTTTATGCAAAAAATACATTTCACCTTTGTAAGGAAGTGTAAGTGACAAACACTTGACACTCACCTCGTCATAGTATATCCTGAAGTCAGATCTTTTGGCCCTCAAGTCCCACATTACTATTGTACCGCTCTCAAAACCTATCAGCAACTGAGGAACACACACACAGAAGAGAGAGAGAGAGAGAGAGAGAGAGAGAGAGAGAAACAGGAGTCTATAAATCCCAACAGAATGGCAATAAATAGCGAAAACAGAGGCAAGAGTGTGTGTTACAAATGTCAAGAGCCTTTTGGCTGTTCAGAACAAAACAGACACACCGGTGATTGGGCACATTTATTATTTAACTTGACATGATGGAGCAAGCGCTGATCAAAACAGACCCATGCTCCATCCTGGGAATCTTCTCTCTGTCACAGATGTTGGGCAAAAATTGTGAATTTAAGAACTGGCTCCCTTTCAGTTCATGTGTGTGAATATGAACTGAACTGGCAACACACTACAGGAAGTTGAATTGGAATCTGAATGGGAATGAAAGGAAAATAAATTTACTAAACTGCAATTTCATCACATTTGAATAATTCTTCCTTTAATTCAAATTCAAATTAATCAGACATTGGACTGTCTCTACCTCTTATATTTGTCTCTGCTACAGTATATTTTGTGTTTTGTCTTTCATTATTGGTCCCCTAAGCCTGTCCGTATCAGTTCCCATAATGCATCTGACCTGCTGTGACTACAACAGCATTTCTACAACAGCATGTAACATTCTTTTCCTGGAAGATGACCTCACAGTACTGACTCCAAAATGCCATGCCTCCTCCTGGAGATAGCAGATTAGAAAAACGCTTTAAAGAAACAGATCCCCCCAAAAATGAACATTTCATCCCTTACCTCCATGTCATTCTACCCTGTATATTATGTTCTTTCTTCCAGAAAACACAAAACAAGACATTAGGCAGGATGTCCTTATACTGTTACTGTTAAGCTATTATACTGTTAAGCTCCAGAAGACCGAACAGACAGTGCATGAAGTATAAATCACTATCTATTTTCATTGCAAAACTATTCAGACTTTCTGCCTAACATCTCCGCATACAGGGTCAAAACAAAATGAGGGTGAGTACATGATGATAAAATGTAAATTTTTCGGCTGAACTATTCCTTTAAATGAATGTGAATTTCTGTGTTTGTGAGAGTGTGAGAGATGTTTTTAGTATGCATCCTCAATACAAGATGTTAACACCAGTAGTCGGGTGAACATCAGGTCACATAACAAGTGTATGTGTGCGTGTGTGTGTATCCTGATGAGTGTTAATGAATCAGAACTGTTCCAACGCATGCAAAGTACCTTTTATAAAAAACTCCAGCAGTCACACTAAGGAAAACGTCTCAGGTTACATATGTAACCATGGTTCCCTGAGAGGGGAACGAGACACCACGTCCTCTAGGGGTCGCTATGGGGGGGATAGCATATATCTAAAAACGACAATAACATTGGCCGGCGATAGCCTATGACGTCATTACCCTGCGCGAGCACAGTATAAAAGGGCGCCAGGATAACACGTCATCCTCTTCTTCGTCTGAAGCTTGCGTCCGCAGCATGGCAAGACAACTAGAAGACGCAGTGTCTCGTTTCCCTCTCAGGGAACCATGGTTACATACGTAACCTGAGACGTTCCCTTTCGAGCGAACTTCGAACTGCGTCCTCTAGGGGTCGCTATAGGGAACGGTATACCCACGCCACTATGCTGAGGGGAGTTCATGCCAGAAAACCACGGCGAGCACTAAGTACCAACTCTACCATAGCCATGGGAGTTGCCCCAAAGGACGTCTTGACAGCTGTCAGTGACATTATCCGCTTCGGCCAAGGGCCTGAGCTGCATACCCTAAAAGAACCTACCTGTTAAGGCTGAGCTAGGAAGCCCAAGCCTAGGGCAGAGCTCAAGGCTTGGAATCAAAGAAAGAGATTCCTTTAAGGGGATATGGCCAGGTGTCTAAAAAACAACACCAGACCCCGGCCTGTCACACAGGGGGGCTACCACCGGTTCTGAATAAACCTGCTCAAAGAACTGACTCGACAGATCTTAGGTAGCAACACCCTGCTCAGAAATGTATCAAAGAGACACATTAGTTGAGTGGAGCCCAAGGCAAGAACCGGGGCCTAAGCCAACTCAGGGAAAGGGAAAGAGGCTGACAGCGGGTAACCCTTACCATACAGGATTTTAGAAAGTGCGCAGAATGCTTTGAGTGCACACTTACCATAATGTGGATTTTAGAAAGTGCACAGAGCTTAGCGTGTGCACTTACCATAGCATGGATTAGAAACGCCGTAGCTTAAGGGGTAACTGAGGCTGTATTAAGCCAGCCTAGGGACCCTAAGTGACTGTGAGAACAGATTCCGAAGCATCTGCTCACAGATGCCCAGAAGTCCTCAGACACTCGACCGGGAGCGGCAGGCTCAAAGACAACCCTCTGAGGTGAGGGGAGCACTGCCTGGCTTAACCCGAATAGAGGCAGCTTATCAGGGAAGCAAGCGGCCCAACTACCTGATGTCACTGCCTAGAAGCTCAAGAGCGGAGGGTTCAACCCCTAGCGAAGAGAGAGAGGAACCCAGCTCGAGTCGAGAGGAGGACTCACCCAGTCTGCCCAGGACCGGCGAGCTCAAAGGGACCCTCCCGCAGTGAGGGGAGCATAGCCATGCCCGGGGCAGATAGATCGCAAATGGGACATAAGAAATGGGATCCTGCTAGAAGGGGATCACACATTTATAAGGGAACAACAGGGTCCCAACATAAAGGCAACTGACCAAGGAGGCGACAGAGACGGGCCTAACACTTAGTTTGTTGCAAATGGGGTCCTACGGGAGCAGCGCTCTTGGCTCTCAAGCTGAGGTGGGCCCTTAAAGCACTGGGAGCGACTTATAGCTAATCCTCACAGAGAGGGGAGCACTTCTCAGCTTGACCAGAAGGGGCGCTAGATTAGAAGGGGTAACCCAGCAGGGCCCAATAAGAGATGATAGAGAGCATGGGTCCCGTATAACCAGACCCGAAAGAATCTGAAGAAATAGCGGGACCCAATAACCATTAATGCATATAGAGCTTACTACTCCTCAGAGCAGAAGCACAACAGAGGGATTTCCACAGAAACACAAATCCCTCTTACCTCAGGGAACGCAGTGTATTCCAGCCCACTCCGCAGAGGGGTGATTACTGGTTCAACCATAAGGGCAGTGTGACAGTGAAGACCCACAGGCCCGACAGTCTATGGAGCGCTGAGCACCTCAACGCCTCAGTGAGAAGAGCTCTAGCTCAGAGCTGCTGCCGCATATGCCCTGCCATTCAAACAAGATGCATCCTGAAGGGCAGGGAGGGAGCCTTAAGAGAAGATGTCTCCCCCATAGAGAGATAGCAGGCCAGCGTCTCTTCAACAGGGTGCATCTTTTCATAACCATTCTCACGCATCCCCTCAATTTTGGCATAACTAGTATGCTGGAACTGTGGATGCAGGACGAGAATGGATTTTTCCAAACCCTCTCGATCTCCAAATGAAGATCAGGAAGGAATTTTTTTCAAGCCGGAGTGCAGTATAATGTGGTTATCTGAGAAGGACATGATATAAATCATCTGTCCAGCAACTGCAGACAGATCCACACTATACACTTACTATATAAACCAAAGGAAATTACTGATAGGGAGAAATTTCCCATCAGGTTCTTTCCATGTTCTCACTGCGATCGCGATCGCAACGCCGGAGCTAACCACGATCCTCCCAACCGCTAGATTACCTCAGAAATCAAGCGAGAACGAAAAGCGAGAGGCGAACGCACTCATGCAAACGCTACCTACAAACTCAGGTAAATGGTGAAGTACATACATCCCCCTCAGTAGTCCCGCGAATGCATCACGATGAGCACAAGCCGCCTCCTCGTGAGATGAGCGCGTACAATTCATGCTTATCTCTCACAAGAAATAAGCAATGAATACAGAGTGCATCCAGCTCCCTCGAGAGCTGAACGCGCTTGCTCTTTACCACACACACACAGCATGCGAGCCATGTGAAACTGCAGGTATCAGAGCAAAGCCTCTGGCGAGAGAACATGCACTCCTATTCGTATTTAGCTTAACGCTAACATAAACAAACGGTCAGTGAAGACGAAGAAGAGGATGACATGTTATCCTGGCGCCCTTTTATACTGTGCTCGTGCAGGGTAATGACGTCATAGGCTGTCGTCGGCCAATGTTATTGTCGTTTTTAGATATATGCTTCAGACACCGGTCACGCTAAAGGCGTCCCCCCCATAGCGACCCCTAGAGGACGCAGTTCGAAGTTCCCTCGAAAGGGAACTAATGTTTTTTTTTTTCATAGTGGTAAACTTGTGTTTCTAAACACTAGTAAACATTAGTTTCTAAAAGGTTTTGAGCCATTTATTTCAGTGAAAAATGAGCAAAAGAAGAAATGCATTCCTCACCTTTCCCTCATCTTTTGGACTGTCACTCAGATGAACAACAGGACCTGGATGTGTTTTTGTTGATCTGAGAAAGAGAGAAAAAGAAAAATTCCTTCAAAAGGTAACTGGGCGATGGAAATGACACATTCTTTGTGCTTGCGGCTTATAGTTCATATCTGTTAGCTCTGAGGTCATCTTTAGGCTAACAAACTCATAAAAGCTGACAAAATAAACTTTCAAAAGATACACACATGTAGAATGTACTGTACAGTCCTTTTCTTCTATTGGCTGATTCTAAAATGGATGAGCTCCTCTGGATATGCTGAGCACAAACATCCTGTTTCAACAGGAAATACTTCAAGGTCGAAACATTAAGTTCGTTGTCTCATTTTATGGGGGGATAATAATACAGAAGTCAATGCACTAATGATCATGTCTCTAGTTTTGCAGTAATCTATTCCTTTTAGCCATAGCAGAAAACTGGTGTATTGCTATTCAAACATTAAACTGAACAAAAAATAAATGAATTAATAGATAAAATTAAGAAGAAGACTTTTGTAAGACAACATGTTACTGGTAAATGCTAGAATGGTCTGAAAGTGTTTTCAGCAGAATTGGACACATCAAGGTCTTCTTTTCAGTAGTATTTCAAAAGCGAAGAGCGACAGGTCAGAAAATGTGCTCTGACAGCCTCCAGTGAATTGACTTCCCTGGTATTGTGTGAGGATGTGCCAAGTACAAGAGACGGAAAAATAGTAAAGTGACGGTCAGAGCGAGGAGGATACAAAAGACTTTTATACAAGTACACACACACACAGACGTCATTCCCATTCAGACCCATCCCCAACGGAACTTAAAAGTGGCCCTGGACTTTATGGTACAGAATGGCCCATCACACCTGGTCTTCAAAACACCACACCGTAACACACTCCACACACATAACACTGATGCACTTTTTATGATGCATTTTTAGCACCACTAACATAAAAATATAACATAATACAAAAAATAATAATAATAATAGTTACAACTGCTTAATAGAAATAACAGTTAATCTGTGCTTATCATTAACATGTTGGCATATTTCTTTAAGCTATCATTTGTCTTTCCTGTCAGTGGTTCAACTGTAAAGTTACGAAGCTACGAGAATACTTCTTTTGCGCAAAGAAAACAAAAATAACGACTTTATTCGCGTCATGGTATTGTCGTGAACGCGCGTCCAAAGTGACGCAGTAGAGACGAAAATGTGGAATAAAGTCGTTATTTTTGTTAACGAAATATAACCAAAACTGTTTTAAAGCTACTTATTTATTATAAAATAAAATAACTATATGCAAATAGACCTAACATTTATTTTAAGATGTGACACTGTCCTGCGGATTAAATGTAAAACTATTATTGTAGAAAAAAAAGTTAAGAAGTTGACTACCCCATCTTTATAGGCCTACTAGAAATTCTGTCATTGTCTACTCACCCTCATGTCAAAAACTTCACAGATCCCATGGAGTTATTATTAAAATGTCAAAGCTGCTATTTTTCATACAACAAAAACATGGTGATCACTTGTCAAGTTCAAGTTGCAATTGTTCTTGGATTATTAAAAAAAAAGTTATATATTTGGTTGGGATCTGCACCATGAGACTAACATGTCTCACACATATTGAATTTAAGACACATATATGTTTTTTGTCGCCTAGGGCACCAAGTAAAGGACTGCCAGTCTGCCTCTTAAAGAAAAAATATGATGCCCCTGCATACACACATACACAACAACAGACGCACATCTCTGTCTGTGTCTGCTACTATAAATGTTATTTGACTAGACGTTACAGAGATGCTTGGCCAACCAAAGCCAAAACATCCCATAATGCCTCCAGCCATATTGAACTCTGGCACCATAGCAGCAAAGAAACTCATTTAGCCAACTAATCAATTGCCATGTATAAAGAAAATAAAAAAAGAAGTTAACCAGACCATAATTCAATTGTATATATATATATATATATACATACCGTATACACATATATACACATACACACATATATATGCCATATCTGGCTGGCTTCCCCATGAGAAACAGAGTCATCACATGTCCCCTGCAGAAAGCAGAGGATACTTTTGTCAACTCATCATTCTTGTATCAATGCTGCTGAGGCTGCAAGAGATTCAGTTGCCTTGAGCAAAATAAGGTAACAAGAGGACAAGTGCACAAGAAACCTAAATTATATGCCCGCTCCACTCACTTACTTGCAATGTAAACTCATACCAAGGAGGTCTATAAAACTTTGCATTCTCATTCATCTTAATGGCAGTTCCAATTATTCTTAGCTGTTAAAAATGAAAGAAAATCAGAATAGACAGCTACTTTTAAATGCTATCAAAAGAGAAAGAAGCTTTTTGCCTCCATGATGTGGCATTAACTAGCAGGGGCTAAATGGACCAAACTAACCAGGCAAACTATAACCTCTTTGCTCACACATACGAATTTGTAGATTAAATGGTAAAGAAGCACCATGTTTGTCAACTAAAATACATGTCTTTAGAAAATTCAGCCATCTGGGCTCAAAGCAAAACAAAGTTCTTTGGTGGTAGGATCTTTTGAAGTGCTACTTTCATGTCGAAAGCAAAAATGCAGCTGTGATTCTTCATTAATTATCAGACTTGGATTTTGTTGCAGCTCTTTTCAGAAAACAAAATTGTCGACTATGATTCTTTATATTAAAATTAAGCAGTGAAGAGGTATTCAGCAAACAAAATTACGGTGTATATATAAAATGAGGTGTATGTAAGGTGTATATACAGCACATCTAATCTACCAGGCAGCTTTTTTGTGTTGTTATATCACATCGGCAGACAGCCACAGCACAAACACCTCATGCACTTCAGTAGTCCTTCATCTTCAGCCTGAAGTCCCTTTGTTTACTGCTTGTTTCTCACACGGACTGCTTCGATCCACACCAGTTCTCATAATCGACTGACCTTCAACTCCACCAGACCACGACCTGTCCATCATAATAACTCCATTTCTGCAACAGCTCTTTCTTGACTCTGGGATTAAGCAGTGCTTTTTTTCTCTTGTGAAGCCTCCTCTTCCTAATTCTTCATTTTATACCAGTAAGCTTTAGAGCTCTGTAAAAGGGATTATTGTTATATCTATTTATTTTATAATAATTTATTTAATTTATATTATTTTAATTCATATTAAATAATGTAATAAATTATAATAGAATTTATCTAAACCATTTTATGGTTTATAAATTAATTTCGATTAGTATAAGAGGACTGCACATATCAATTTTATCAGTTTACACTAAATACAATTTTAAAGAAACTAACTTAAAAATTAAAATAAAAAATTAAAATAAAAAAAACATTATCAGCTACTGTAAATATTTTGCCATTTTCTTTTTTTTTCTTCTTTTTTTTAATAAGCATACTTGAATGAGTGATTTTTTTTTATTCAAATCAGTTTTTACATGAATTCATGAATGAATTAAATGAAGTAATTCACTAATGCCAATCTGACTTTGGTGGTGAAGTTATTGCATTTACCAGCTAACTGTTGTCAATTTGTTGGAAGATGTGACTCCACGACCAAAATCAAACAGTATTAAGTTAGCCAGTGAGACATCACCCCAAGAGATAAAAGGGCGGCCTTTGGAGAGCGTTTTGACCGCTTGCAGGTTCAAGAAATGATGAAAAAGAGTGATTATATTACTGAAAGACAAAAGCAGAAAGGATATAGGACAGATATGTCATCCTAAACGAGTCTGTCTTGCTGGGCTTCAAATCTAATTTGTGTCTGATGGAATGTCCAGCACAGTGTTGATTCTCTTCTCAGCTGTACTTTGTCTCTGCTCACTCTATGAGACCTGTTATTGTGATCTAACACACTGAGAGTCATTGTGAGAGTGCCATAATATACTCCTCTTCCTCTCTTCATCTAAGAACACACAGCGGGCAATTTAACTTTCCTCTCAAATAAATTATATCTTTGTATAATAGGTTTTTTTTTCTTTCAGCTTTCCACTGATTATTTCTTCCCCCTCCTTCGGAAAAAGCTATTAAAAGTGTTATTTAAATGATTTTGGGACAGTTTTGATTTGAAAATGTGCAAATGGTCTACCTCAAACACACAGACTATTAATTTATTGCATCAACTATTCATTTTTTAACTTTTCTCTGCAATCAGTTTTATCTTTGTATAATAGACATTTTGTTTTAAATTTCCTTCTTTTCACTGAAGACTACTTCAGCCTCCTTCTCAATATGCTATTGAAATCGATTAAATGATTTTTTTGAACTTGAAAATGTGCAAATTTTCTATCTCAGACCAACAGTCTATTTATCTTCTATTTATTTATTAACATTCCTCCCCCATCGATAATATCTTTGTATAATAGGCTTTTTTCTTTCTTTCTTTCCACTGACTATTTCATCCACCATCTTACAATCAGTAATGAGACCTCCGAAACTGTCCTCTTCACAAAGTGATGGCCAATCTTTTCTACCCCTGTCTAGCTTTCTGAGAAAGCAGACAGACAGTCGCTATGTAAGACACTGTCTGGCTCTTTGTGTGTGTAATGTGTGTGTGTGTGTGTGTGTGTGTGTGTGTTTACACAGGCCAATGACAGAAAAGTAAATTGAGAACAGGAGGCCTTTGCTTATCAGCTGAAAAAGGAAGACAAGACTCTTCTCCCTCACCTTATCTTCCCTCGCTACCTGTGTGATCGCACAAGCCTCAGGCAAAAGCACACAGAGACGCATATGCAGCGGCTCATGGCGCAGATCAGAGCTGGACTACTGTTTGCATCCTATTTGGTCATCAAATCCAAAAACACTCATTTATTGTTAACTCATCGTTTGAAAGCAAACATGAGGCGCATGCTAACGTTAGCTCGCTAGCTGTGAGAGTGCTCTTTCTGTTTGAGACCAACTTCAAAGGCTATGATAAGAGTCACTGAAGTGCTTTCAGTGCTTGCAATGGTTGCCGTGGCAATGGTGGCAGCAATCTCATTCAGGATAATAGCTTTGAATATTATGGTGAAGAACCGGAAATTGGTTGGTTGCAATTTGGTGAGCGTG